CTGTTCCATTACCTCCACAGTTCTACTTTATCTTTCTTGACTGTTAAAGCCTCACCTTTGAATATATATAGCACTGATGGCTAGACTCACTTGGAAAGGCCCATAGTTTGAACATTGCATTATTAATCTATAACCTATATACCTGTGTATCATGTGTATACCTATGCAAACAAAAGGAACACACAAACACTGATCCAGGGGTGCTTTTTATGGGAGATGAGTATAGTTTAATGACAGTAGTCACTCCTGTAGCGGTTTCATTGAGGAAAACATGGCTAAGCAAACTAGCACCTGTTTATTTTATGAGTACCGTATATTTATGTAGTTTTGATAGGAGCTATGCTTTCGGTGTCAATTACAACGGATATAATATATATATTTTTTATTTTTGTATATATAATGAGATATTAGAACAACTTCAAGAGATTGTTTTAAAGTCTTCCAAGGAGCAAAATCAACATCATACTGTGTATCAAAGAGAACTTATTGTAAAACAAAATTATAACATTTGAGTCCATAATATTAGCCTCTAGTGCAGTAAGGATCACTTTCAATTTAAAACACTATGTTGTTCATAGAGAATGTAGATCCCTATCTTAACAGAGATTTTCGAAAGTCTGCAAACATTTAAAAAAAATCTCAAAGCTCAAATTGGTAAAGGCAAGACTTACAGTAGCCTCTATTATCCTCTGAAGCATTGCCCCTTCCTAGCCTATATGATCCCATAACATGTGCTTTATGCATCCCAGAAAATCGCCTCTTGCAAAGTATTTTCTATGCATCAGTTTATTTTGACTTAATTCTAAACACCCTTTAAAAGTTATGTTAAAAAGCTTAAATTTTGTCCTTCATTCATTAACACAAATTATCGACATAACCTGGAAGGTTTTCACTGATGAAGAAAAAAAAGACTGAGTTTCCAACTGCCTGGCCACCACCAATGAAGCCAAGAACTCCATCAAGTCAAAACTTTTTGTTTTTAATGCTCCGTGTTTTTTTTGTTTGTTTTTTTACTTTTAATTTTTAAGCAACAATGTTTTCAAAAATATATATTTTTTTTCTACAAAAAAATATATAAATATAATTCCTTTAAAACGGGCCTCCTGCCTCTTGCATGAACAGTTTGATATTCAACACCCTGCCCAGTGCAACATTGCACTCCTGTGACTGCTTAAATAGCCAGAAGGTAGTGGGTTCCAGCGTCAGTGCCCCCTGGGCCCTTCTATTTGGAGAAAAGCAGCAGTTGCTGTAACATTTAGCTGGGGGCCTGGCATTGCTTAACCAAGCCAAAACCGCTTTTTTGACTCAATCTTCTGTTCCTACTTTGCTAAAAAAAATGGACCAGAATGTAAACACACGGTGAACTTTTAAATATCATAAATACACATTGCTATACAAGTAAAAGTGCCTTAAGATCTGTGCCTGAGGGCTTTTGTGTGACTGCATGTGTGTTAAATATGATTCAGCTTCAGTAAATGGTTGCTAGCTACAAAAAGTCATGAAGTGGGTCCAAAGTGACAAATGCTCACAGCTTACTGTGACACATAGTTTATATGAGCATGTTGACTTCAGGCATTTCATGTGTTGGTTCCCTTTTAATTTCCTCCATTTTCTTACTTATTGGCCAGCAGCTATTGTAAATGGGTTCTTCTTTTTATGCTTCTATTTCTTGAACATTTTCGTCTATTTGTGAATAGATATTGAAAGTCTCCATGAAATATGAAACAAAAAACTATTTAACTTCTATAATCCATTTATAGTGGCTCTAACACTCGAGTTCTACAATAGGAAATAAAAGAACAACTTTGAAACAATGGTGGGTAAATTACAAATCACAAATTACTGACTTTTGATTAAAACCTTTTACATTCAAACCTCTGTTTTGTTTCTTCATCTGTTTTGTTATCCTGCTCTGTTAATGTTAGAAAAAATGGAAAGAAAAAATGTCCGTCCTAAAACTCACTAAAAGTAGAGATCCTTTAAACAAGAAGTTGCTTTGCTTTGCCCATTACCCAGTATCTTTACTACACTAAAAACATGGCTGGTTAGTGGTGATACTCAGATGGCTTTTGCTGCAGCATAGGTTTACAAAAGATGAGTGGATGAACCAAAAACATACTAAGGTTGTAATTGCCACAAGATATTCGGTTTAACTCAAGCCCTCATCAGCACGTCTCTGTATTGCATGGAATGAAAAGCATTGAATAAGCAGCTGAACAGACATGAATTTGATAAATGCAAAAGCACCCTAAGAATAATGGGATGCACACATGCAACTATATGCAGGCAAGTGTGTATGTATGAAGTCAAACATATTTTGACATCTTTCCTTGTGTATGGGTGTGTCAGTGTACTCGTGGCAGAGTACAGATGGGTTTTTTTTGGGAGCCTATGTGCACCCTGCCCATCCTGTCTCTGTTGCCATGGTGATTCCTTTATCTCCAAACCTGAATGTGTATTTGGAGACTTTGCAAAAGTGTCCATGCTAGATTTATTGGCTATAAACAATTTAATCTGAATTTTATAGACAGAAAAGCAATGATTAGGTGAAGTCATTAAAGACGATGGCACATGAAAGGTGGATTTTAATTTACATTAGGAGAGCATCCACTGTTTATGCTAATGTTGTTGTTGTTTGCAATTGTTAAAGTGCTCGTATAAGTCATGATACAGAGCAGCATGAAGATTTATAATTGTGGATGTTCATCTAAGTGTGAATAGCTTTTAGCTCACAGACAGGCAGTAAAAGGGGTATTAGACACGTCAAGAGATCCTACTGCAACAGAGCTTAGGTAATAAGGCTCCAGTACTAACAGGCTAAATATAGACAGAACTGACTGTCTGCCTGCCCACTAACTGTTACTTTCTAATAAACAGGCAAGCACATGGGAAACAGTGCATGGAAGATAAACTCAATGGAAAATGTGTTTCTTTTTTGTCTGATGATTTTATTTATAAATTCTTCCAATACATATATTCAAAAGAAGTATTGATCATTACACTCTGGTTTCTGTCACTCTCCTTTTTTTTTTTGTTTAATATGAGAATCCGAAAATAAATCTACTGGTGACTGGGAACATTTGGATCAGCAAATCTGAAACAGCAGCAATCTGTGAAGTTTGTAATGTGTGAAAAGATTCGTAGCTTATTTATTTTTTCATTACTTGTTTGAAAAGAATACTATTGAGCACGAAAGTAGATTAACTGTAATTACAATCTGTTTCTACGTTGTTGTTTTATTTTCAATAAGTCGGTAAAGTAGGTTACTGTCCTAGACTGACAATACTCTTTTGTGTAAAATTTGTTTCTGTGGAAGGAATGTCAATATCACTGTTTTCTATAACATATATCTGGCTGCGAAGGACAGAAATGCCAAAAATAAATAATAATTTGATCCGAGTATTGCAAAGAGACTGTTTTATCATTTTGAACTTTTAACCTCAAGCTTTAAAATTTGGAGTTCAGGTCAATCATTTTAGTTCATAGGACACACAGGCAGAGTGCTACTATAATATTTACTAACTGTTCTATATACCATTAAAACCTGTTTGTTTAAAAATTTACTCTTGATGTATTTTATTTTACTAAATCAGTACCTAACTGTAGCGCTTCATACATTAAGCAACTCTTTATTTATCAAGACTCTGCCCCTAATGTGAAGAATTAAGGACACTTACAGCAGAAAGATCTGTAAGCAATAAAGGAATAATTAAAAAAGGAATTTCAATCATCAATGTTATATTATGGGTGCATTGAAGATTAAATTGGAAATTCTTTTAAATAGTGTACCTTTAGGTTTTGAAATTAAAGTTTCCAAAATGAGGTTTGATTAAAGTTGCTCACTGACCATGAAATTTTTTTTTTCCCTATCACTACAGTTTGAAATTTTTAACTTTGCATATTTTCTCCCTTTTTTTTGTCAATCATTTAATTTCATTTTAAAATGTGAAGTTGAATATATATATGTATATATATAAAAAAAAAAATCCTCAGTGTTGTGAATTAAAATGAACAAATACAAAATGTGATCAACTGATATTTGTCCACTTAATAATAATAAATAAAGATAAATAATCAGTGCTACCCTAGTGTAATATTAGTATCAGATCATCCATCATGTCACTTCCAGATTTTCATTTTGCAAAGACATTGTGGACTGTTAGAAAGGACAAGAACAAGGTGTCCACCTGTTCTCACCTGTTTTTTGTTTTCACATTTAGATGTGCCCCTCTTTTCTTGTCAGGTATCTCTACTCTTGCTCTGTGGTAAAAAGGTTATGCTTTAACTCCAAAAACAATCAGTGTTTTTCACCAGCGACCTTCCCATCTCACCTCATAAAGGAGGTCAGAAAATTTCTGAAAGAGGAGATTTGACACAAAGCTGTCTGGAGGGTAAGACACGGACAGAAGGACAAGAGAGGAGGCCTTTTGGTCTTCCTCCACAGACATGCAAATTAACAGAAGCATAAATCCACATACACACAGCCACTAGGAACTGACACAGTCATTTATCACAACCTTTGGTGATTTCAAGTCTTTCAGCTGCCTTTTTTTCACCTTGGGCTGAGCAGCAGTGTTCTCTTCGCCCAGGAACGCTCATCTAGGAGTTTAACAACAGTCACATTCTTTTATAATCCTTAAAGGTCAAAGAAGAAAAACACATAATCAGTTTTATTTTCAGTTTTTCTCACCCAAATACCGTAATTTAAATAATAGCTTTCACTTAACAGATTTACATAGTAAGTAGCATGGACATGTATCGGAGCAGGATGTTTGAGATAGCTGTTTGTATCTTAATAATAGAAATAATCACTTTAAATTAATTTTATAATTTGTTTGATTGTCTAAAACATTTGTTTGATTGAATAAACTAAAACAAGGAATCTGTGAGGGGGCCTGGATTATCACACAGAGCTGTTGATTCATTTATTTTTGCTTTGTTTATTGAAGCTCAAAAAGGATTAAACACATTTTCTGTTCTGTCTTTTTGTCTCTCATAAGTTCCTCCAAGTCCCACCCCGGGCCAGTTGTCCACATAAGTGATAACCCTATGGATGAGGGAAAGGTAAACAACATTTTTGTCTATATTTCTTTTCAGTGATGAAATAGTCATACTCACCTAAACTCAGTTTTCATACACTAATAGACTTTAAGTTACTAATGCACCAATGCTCCCTGTTCATGTTTAAAGTGTTTTGACAGTTTGACAGTGTGCTGTACAAGAAAGAAACTACTGCTTCAAAAAAATGAGCAGACTGTCAGAAAAACTCATCAAAAATCAAAATTTAAAATGCCTTTCTAAGAAAACTTTACAGATGAAGTGAGGATGGAGCTCTTTGGCCACAATGACAAGACGAATATTTTGAAGAGTCAAGAGAGGTTTTCCAACCTAAGAACATTGCTTAGCTCTGGTATTATCATCACTGCTACTAATGTATTACACAAAGTGGGTAGAATAATGAAAGATTACAAACTCATGATGTTTAAATTTGATTTCAAAACATGTAGATGTTGGACATTTTGAAAATAGCTGTTTCCAACAGGGCATTAAGCCAAAACAAATATTACAATTTGTTTAAGAACTGCACTGCAAAAACTAACATCTAAAGATGTGTAAAAATTTCTTTAATTTAGTGTATTTGCCCTAGAATGTGTATTTTTACCCTTCCAATAATATAATTAGATATGATGCTCTTGAAATAAGAGACTGCAGTTATTGTTTTCTTTTTTCTAAATGTAAATTGTCTTATTGCATTTGCAAAGTGTCTCATTTACCTGCTCAATTAAAATTAATGCTGTTCTTTTAAAGAAAATTGTCTTACTTAGGTTTTCATATATAAATATATATATATATATATATATATATATATATATATATATATATATATATATGTATATATATATATACATCAGGTGTATAAAACAACTAATTGGAAATATATAAACTGTGCTTTAAATTTAAGTCTGTGCCTGAAAAATCTACTTCAACAACCTCAACCAAGAGGTTTGATATAATTATGCATATTATGACCCCCTCTGCACTCAAACTACACTTAAGATTATAACTATTGGGGGTTTGTTATCTTAATTTGGATTTTACTTTTATATCAGTTGTTGACTAGTATGGGGAATTAAAGTAGAACGAAGGTAAACTGAGGACATATCAAAATATTCTTACATGAACTATATGTTTACATCACATATCACAATAACCAAGTGTGTTGTATTGTATTTGAAGTTCCCTATTGCCAGCTCTTTGTTTCGGTTAAATACTTTGGCAACTGATGCTATTTTTAAACACATTTAGGGACCTATCCCATGGTGAGCTAATAAAGAACGACAAAACGACCACAAAAAAAAAAGAGTCTTTTGTTGGATAATTTTTTATCGAATTGTTCACAATTTTGTAAATTGATGAAAAGCCCATCCACCTCAATATTTTATCAGTTCCTTGAGACTCTTTGTAGCCTGCCCATTTTCCAAAGATTTGCTTTATGAATATGTTGTGAATCATGCTCCTCTAGTTCTTCGTTTGAGTGTGTTTTTGGCACACTTAATGTCACAAAAGATGAACATGTGCTTATGATCTGTCCATCTGGCTGTTCGAAGAAGTCTTTGGATACTCTCTGTCATCATTCCATCAAAAATGCAGCACTATGAGGAAAAATTATAAATAACCCTTTTGGCTTCCTTTATTAGAGCACATGAAAATCCCCTTGCAAATCCAAAATAGTTATGACTGACTTTCCGGTCAAGAATAATTTTGATTTGTTAAGCAAGAGATACTATAAAAATATTTTTATTTATTGCATGTCTTGCAAAAAACATTGGAATTTTCACATTAAGAAATTAGAAATAGAAATATTTCTTTTTAATGCACTGAATATTTGGCACTTTTGACTTTCCCTACCTGCTCTAGTCTCAATTTATCCTATATACATATTTCTTTTTGTGTGAAATGTTTGAGCACAAATATATATCTATATATATCTATATATATATATATATATAGATATATATATATATATATATAATGTATAATAAATATATTTCTACCTTTTTAGTAGTTGTAATTTTTTTTATTATAAAAAAGAGCAGCTGAATAAATGATATTATAGAGACAGTTCACTAGTGGGTTGAGCTATTCTCGATACAGACTAGTGAGCACCTTATGTGGCCTTATGCGGCCCCCTGGCTTGCACAGGCATCATGTTTTCCTGAGGTTAATGCATTCTGATGTAAAGGTGACCTCTGCCACTGTATATGGTAGATTGCAGGCTTTTAAAGTTGTTCCTCCAGCAATGCTATGTAAATATTCAACCTACTGTACCAACAGCATTCACCAGCTTCCCTGTCCCAGCTAAAGACATGCCCATATCATGGTACTTCCGTCGCCATTTTCCCTGTGAAAATGTTGCATTGTGTTTACTTCAATGTCCATTGGTATTTTCTAATGCATAACCCCCTCCCCCCACAAGAGCTGTGGATATCTGCCTTCATGTATGAATGGCAAAGACCTTCCGGCTACCTTTTCTGATTAACACTCCCCCTATCTGGTTCAGTTTTTTCTAGAGAACAGCTAGTTAGGTTTGCAATTGTGCCATACAGTTCCTATTTTTAAATCTCTTTTTGAGCAGTTTCTCTATTCAAAGCTGGGATTTTTTATGCACTAGTGTATTTATTTATAAAGCACTTATAACCCAAAGGGCAACCAATGTGTTGTACAGGTGAATAACAAATGCATTGAAAATAGTAACAAAATCATAAATAGCAATATAATGCAAGGTTGACAATGGCAAGCAATTAAATCTGCAATTACGGGCATATAAGAAAGGGGACTGGTCTAATTATTGTCATGTCTGGAATTAAAAGCAAGTTCAAAAAGATAAATATTTAAATTGAGCTAAAAATCCCATAAAGTTCTTACAAAACTCACAGACACTGAGACGCTGTTCCAAATCTTTGGAGCTGCAGCTGTAGGCTTTTTCTTCCCTGGCTCTGGAAACAGCTAAAAGCTTTTTGAGAGGTCTACCGGAGATGTGTGGATGTACAGCAACGTACAATCCAAAAACCTACAGTCCACAGGCGTAATCTGACCCATTACTGCAAATTCTCTAGCCTTCAAGAACCAGAAGAAGCACATCATGTAATAAAAAAGTGGCAAATTTTCTTTTAAAGAATAGAAAGTAGCTTAATCTTTCAATAACATTGGAGTGAAGTTATAATACCAGAGCAATGTGTTCTTTGCATACAAGAGAAAGTTTTATTTATACAGCTGTAACTGGCCCTTTTAAGAAGATGATTCCGGTGGACCCGATATTAAAATTAGTTCAACACCCCTGATGTTAATGTTCACTAGTGTAAAAAGGTGCAAGGTAATTTACAGGACTTTATTAAATGAACTGATTCTTAAAACATTAACTTAAAACAACTACAGTAAGGAAACAACAGGAAGTGAAAGGAACACCAAAAATTGTACATCTCTTTTTATATATTAAAAAAAGGCTGTTTTTACATTTTAAAGCAGAAAGAGCAGAGGGGTTCAAATTTCCTCGATCACAGCAAAAGAACAAACAAACAATAGAGACACACCTACGTCACACCGACTGTACAATCCCCAATAAAAGGGGTGGAAAACTTTACAAAATTTACCTATTGTCATGATTTTTTCTAAGGCTTGGACCAACATGCAATGAAGCCAAACAGAGTGACACAATATTAAAGTTAAACGGGTTTTATTGAAGTGTATATTGAGTTAGGTGCAGAGTTCCTCCGAACTCTGCTCAGCCGGAAACTGGAAGACGAAGGGAAGACAGACTGTTAGGTTCAGGCTTAGTGGGAAATTGGAGTTGTCAATCTTGAAGGAGAGGAATTGTTGCCACTCACGTTTCCAGAGAAGCAGAGACACTTAGACTTCAGTCTGTGTGTTGGTCTTCCAGAGAATGTTTGATTCGGTGGAGGGCGGAACAGGGTTTACCCAGAACTCGGACGGAGTGGAATGATGTAGCCGCTGGTTGCAACTCAGTTTTCCTGTGGTACTTGAACTTGTCGTGGTGAAGATGACTTCCTTACTCAGAGAGATCTCAGTGTTCTCAAAGGTGGCTGGATCCAAACCTCTTGTTTGGAATCCGTCGCTCAGTGTATGACTCACTTGATCCCACTTGGGAGGAGGCGGTCCAAAAAGGTCCAGTTTGCAGGAAGGCTTCCTGCCGATTGACAAAGAACAAACAAGGTTTAGTCTCAGGGAGAAACAAGCGCTCAGTAAAACTCTATGTGATCTCAGCATGACTAGAGGACAAAAACTCAAAATGCAAAAACTCAACTTGTTCAATTTGAACAAATTAAAGCTAAGCAATCATCTAAATCCAAACAAAACCCAAAATATGTTTAGGTTTTTGTTTGGGAAGCTTGCTTGATTTTTCAATTGGGTCCTCAGAAAGCAAAACAGATCCCAGCCCTATTCTATTTTACTACATAAGAAATAAAATATTTTCATGTACCCCTTGCAATGCAAACTACCCCCAGTTAGGAATCAAGCTCTAAAGGATTCGGTACTCAATTGATGTACTGTGTTTATGTGGTTTGCTGTGTTAGATAAATATAATGCCCACACAGTCACAGAACATTTCAAGATTTCTTTCTTTATTCTGAGACAGTTGTGCCGAATATTAAAATCTTAACATGCTGAGACTGAGTGGGGTAGGTATTGTTTCTATAAATAGGTTGTCAAGAATCAAAGCAGACCTTTCTTCTTTTTGTGAGCCCTTTTTTCCCTTTTCAGCTGTCAACCAGGAGAAGCAGGTTTTCACTTACACTGACTTTCTATCATGCTGTGCAGGAATGTCAAGAGTATTACTTCAGTTTCTGCTCATCAGAGGGTATTCTCTATCCCCCAGTTTCAATGAATGCTTGTCGCTCTTCTTCTGCAGCTTATAATTGGATATGAGTCTGGAATCGTGGTCCTGTGGGATTTGAAATCCAAGAAGGCAGACTACCGCTACACTTATGACGAGGTAGGGAAATCTCGCTGATTTATACTTTCAGTTTTGCAATAAACTAAGCCAACTGTATCTTTTATAACCTTGAAAATGGATCACATATTCATGATCTTTTTCACCTTTGCGTTTGGAGCTTTTCTAACAAATAAAGTACCGGTAAGTGGTTTATCAATATGTGTAATAGCTGGAATTGAAGTTTAATTTAAGATTTAATTAATCTTTTCTTTCATAGATTTGTTTTGATACTCTACTTTAAAGCTTACCTATCAAATTGTGTTTATTTTCACATTTTAAGTCAGTTGTGTGCAGTGGTGTCAAAAGTACACACATTTGTTACTTAAGTAGAAGTATAGATGCTGCAGTTTGAAAACACTCTGGTAGAAGCTGAAGTATCAACTTGACCTCTTTACTCAAGTAAAAGTGAAAAAGTATGTGCTCCAAAAACTACTTAAAGTATAAAAGTATAAATAATCTGTTGTCAGAAAATTTTGATTTCATACATTGATTTATCCCATTTACTCACTATCAAATTTTTCACTCAGTCTGTTTTACCTGCAAGGCCATTCAATTCTCTGCGTGAGGATGTTTGTAGACCAGACATAGCTTCTTCCCAAAACAAGCCAGATTCTTTCTCAAGGTTTATTCATAACATCTTACTGTTAACCTAAGTGTCTGTAATTAGCTGTAGCCTATATCTCTTTGCAAAGATACGATGAATAAAGTGCGACTGAGTGAAATCAATCGATCTCCATTTATTTAACTAGGGTGAATATTTGAATGCTTTTTTCACACTATGGTAACCTTTAAAAAAAACTGCAAGATTCCACTATATGAACTGAAAGCTCAGCTTTACAACTATTTTGAAAAATTCTTTGAGATAGGGCCAAGGATGAGGGAGGTCTTGTTGGTCTCCATCTCCTGATACGTTCTCGCCTGAGTCTGATTTTTCAGACATTTCAACATCTTTTTCTGAATTCAACATTGTAGCATGGCATAGACAATTCACGTTTGCGGTTTGAAGAACACCTGCTTGCTTCTAATGATTTCCTTTGGCATCAGCACAAATTTGACAAATAGCTAACCAATGAGTGTTTGCGTTATATGAATGGATGGAGCCAATGATCTGCATTGGATGGCACACATGCCGTGAAATAAATTTTTATAACCATTAAATCGAAGCCAAGAGTAACGACTAACGTTTGTTTTAAAAACTTAAGGAATAGAAAGTACAGATACTTGTGTGAAAATGTAATGAGTAGAATTCAGAAGTGGGAAGAAAAATAAGTAATGGAGTAAAGCATAGATACCTAAAAAGTGTACTTAAGTACAGTAACGAAGTATTTGTACTTTGTTACTTGACACCTCTGGAGATAGCCAGGTCCTATTCAAGAGATACTGTAGATATATTTAAGCAATATCTCAATCTTAAACCAGATTTTATGGCTTAAAAATTATATTTTATATCTATTTCGGACACAACAGCGCTCCGAAAATAGAAATGACCTTAAAAACAGGTATTTAGTCACAGAGTTGAGGTTCAACAGTCATTATAAAAACAGGATCAAAGTTTTTATTATAGGTTTGTCGGAAGAGCCTAATACATGTACAATTGATGTCTACAAGCCTGGCTTTAATTGAGCCGTTTCATTCAGACAAATGGGTTACATTTCTTGAAAAAAATGCAGAAGTTTGTGGAACTAGTTTATTAATGTTTGACATGAGTCATAAAGTTTAAAACAAAATTCTAGCAACTTTTTAATTCTGAATGTGCAGTATTTAAGGTCTACTCTTAAATAACTGGAATTGCTACTGATTACCAAACAAATCCTGATCCTCATCCTTGGTAAATAGCCAACTCTTTGTCAGTGATTTTTTTCCACTAATCATTAGATGCTCAGGAGTTACTTTCAATGCGATAAGAGTGATTAGCACTCTGGACTACTAATGAGAAATGAGTGAAGAAAATAGGCAAGTGTGTGCTAATAATAATTTAGCAAGAACTAAAAATCTGAACAGAACTTTTCGTTTATAAACCTTGGCCACATAGAGTTCTGCAGGTAAGGTCTACCTGTATTTGCTCATAAGCTGACCTCTTTGATACTGTTAAACTTAAAAAAAAAAAAGGAACATACTAAAGATTACATATTTTAAGTATGTCTGGAGGAAATCTTTCTGTTTTCTTCATCTGTCATTCCCATGTCTTAGATAAACTTATCACCTCCCTCTGCTTCTGAAGGTCACATTCTCTAAACGGAAATTTCCCAAAAGGGCTGGTTTCCATTTCCCAAATGTGCTCCTTCTCTGCATTTACACAGCATGGCTTTGAATAGGAAGCAGATAAACTCCAGTGATACCGACCCGTTCTTTTATTTCTTACTTAAAAAATGTTGCATATAAATTTCTCTTGGGCAAATACAATTGATTATATGTAAAAATCCTAAATCTGTAGAGTGATTTTGCCTGAAACCCTCCTGCAGATCTTTGATGTTCCTTATCACTAGGGTGTTGTGGTTAAGATTGTACTGTTTCTTATCCTAAATTTACCCCTGTGAACCAGCTGATGTAAAAATGTGTTTTGCTGACTTTTAAAGGGAGTAGCATGAGACTTGGTATTAGCATGAAATTTATATTAAGATGTGGGTTGTGTAGAAAAAAATATTTTAAGGTTCACAAAAACACTCTCAGTTAAAATTTTAGCAACCTGTTAAAAATACAGCAACTTAAGATTTTATTTGGAAAGAATCTATTATTTGGACAATAAAATAAGCTGAAAACTAGATAGAGAACTCTGTTTCAGTAGAAGAAATTGAGTAGAGATCGCTGTTGTGCAAAGGATTATGCAGTTTACCAAATTAAAACAAACATTTCTACCATAGTTAAAATCTTCACAATCAAATATTTAAATAAAAACAATACAATAAGTCTAAATAAGTCAAAACAATAAAGTCTAGAGTTGTTTTTAAGGTTGTTTGTTTCAAACCTAAGTGCAATTTCAGTTCAAATATCAGAATCAGATCTTTCTGCCTTAGTTGTGCTTATAACTCTACTGAGCAACAATCTGCAGGTTTTACTACACAGATTTAAATGCACAAAATTTTTCTTCTGAAAATATATTTTTTAGATCACTAAAGCCCAACACTGGATACATACATTGAATTAAAAGAGATATAATATCATTTATGTCATCAACAAACATTATAAAAATGTTATTACTCTGACAAAATACAGTATGGATTAGATATTATTAGTATTTTTTGAGATCATGACTAAATACTAACCAAATCTCAGGGTCTCTGAATCTTATTGAAACAAGGTTGTGAAATTAAATAAGTTTAAATATTGTTTCCCGAAACTATAGTGTATTCTTCAAGCTTTATTCTCTTTTCTTGCTGGGTGTTTGTATTTAAACCCCAGTTTGCCCAGAAGCTTGCTGAGGAGAATCAAAGTATTTGACTGAAATGAAGATGGAAGCTTCCTGTCTTCAGCAAGAGAGCAAAACAAAGCAGTGCCGAATCTAGAATTTTAAATAACCTACAGTAATGTTGGAGGCTAGTTATCAAGGGAATTATGAAGTGAGAGACAGAATACGAGTAAATGGTTTATCTTCATCTTTTTCACAATATTTGCAAGTAGACAGGAGTAAAAGATTATTTCTTACATAAGCAAATACATTATATGAAAGCTTCTGATGCTTTAATAATTTGGAAAAAGACAGCAAAATGTAGGAAGCAAAAATGTTTTTTGTTTTTGTTTTATTGCTGAGGTTCAGATATAAAGTCAAAGTTACAAAACGTTGGTTCTACAAACTGTTAAAAAGCTGAGAGAGCACAACGTCTAGGTTTCTCTGAGCGGATTGTCTATTGTTGGCTGCAGATCAGCACTATGGGTTTCCAGTAAGTGCTAGCCAGAGAGCATCTGTCACTCTGATCCCTGACTCCTCTGTCCCATCTGACTCAACACATTGCACCTAGTTTGGCGCTAAACAATTGTTCATATAACCATGGATGAAATTTTGATTCCAGAAGTGGGGGATATATATATATATATATAGTTATAAGTTCTTCTGTGTTTGTTTCCACCACTTTCTATTGTATCTCAGCTACTGTATCCCTTTTCTGACAAAATATATGGATACATGACATGAACAATTGGACAAATTGGTGTGCAACAATCCATGTAGATTTAAAACAAATGCTTTTACAATTATTATGAGCTCGGATATATAAAATCACATTTATAGATTGTATTTTTTCCTTTAATTATAATAATAATAATATATAACAATAATATGTTTTATTAATTAGCAGTTTAACAAAAAAATACACTTTACAATAATATTGAAAGCTTTAAAATGCGGAGGAGGATGTTGAAGTGGATTTGCCGCTCTATGGAGCTAGTGAGGGTTTTTTAGGAGGGGTGTTACACAGTTCCTTGAGTGTCAGTCTAAGTCTATTACGCTTCTCTCTATTCTTTCAGACATCCCGGCTGCGAGTATAATAACCAAACACACAAACACATGACACTGGTTCAAAGCTTTGTGTAAATTAATACATCTGATACAGTATTACAACCCTTCTAGATTACGTGACCCAAGTGAAGAAAAATTGCCCAACAAAAAGTATTAGATTCCCTCATGGACTGTTTGCTGACCTACAGTCTTCTCCAAGACTGTAACTCCATTTAAGATATATATATATAAAAAAATAAAAAGCTAAATGTACAAGAAAGCAGAGAAAAAGACTAGCGACCATACAGTTCTCAAGCAGTGCTGTGATCAACCTATCAGAGTCCGATTCAGTGGTGCATCAGATGTTTGTAAGGTGAGCTTCTCAGAGTGACAGCAGTGACAGCCAATCATATAAGAAAAGACTAACTTTTCTTGTGTTCCAGAGTAACTTGTGGATGGTCTAAACTCAGGGAAGCGGGCTTCAGCTTGAGCTGTGGTTTTCCAGATAGGTCATAGTGCTCCATGAGTGTTGGTGTACTGTAGCGTAACATCGTTTTTGGACAGTAAA